TCTAATTTTTGCTTCATAACTTTTGCACTGTCCACTTCCTGCTGTGACAAAACAAATTTCCCACGTGTGGGACTAATAAAGGTTATCTTATCTTATCTTAAACGGAAAATGCTGGATCAGTGACCCAGCACCCTAACAATCACTCTGCTATGCAAACTGGTTATAGCAGGTGTCTGACGACATTTCTCACATTTTCTCCCCGCTGTCATAAATCTGATGCACAAAACAAAGGGTTATCTTTAAATGTTCTTTACCTTTAGAAAAGAAAATGCCAGAGGTGACTGTGTGAGACAAAACAATAAAAAACAAAAAGACATTATATGTATTTGGTTTCTGTTCTTAGAGTAAAATTTAAATCTGAAAGTTTTGCTTTTAAAAGGGCAAGTTTGTTAAGTTCCTGCCTTAAAATGTGTAATCATTGTGCGAACACTCTAACAACTTTTATCACAAAAAGGAATTTGCAAAAATGTAAAGTACCAACTACTGTGAACACAAATCATATTAAATTGGACAGGTATAGTAAAACATGTCATCTGGTTACTTCTTGTAAACACTGAAAGTTTACCCAGTCAGCCAGGAGTTTCATTTCTGTGAAAAAAGAAACAAAACAATCCTGACAACATGACTGACACGATGATTCCCACGAGAACCAGTATGTGTGCTTTTACTACTTCAAGCTGTTAGTTAACTGAAAAGTTTTACATAGACTCTATGAAGTCTCATTTAGAGTCCAGAGAAAGACTGTAGATGTAAGAGTATCACTACTGCAATAGTTTATAAACTTAAAAAAGGGTTGTTTATAAAAAATGTGAAGAAGATGGTCCTTTGGAAATGAAATGATTAATTGTATAAATGAATGTGTTTGTATGTGACCCGTACACTCAGTGTGTGATGATCTGTGGTTAGTGGCCTTCTCTCTTTTCTTCCATGGTTACAGTTTTGTGTAACAATGAGTGTAAATAGTTCAGGTACAACAAAGACAGTTGCAGGAGGTAACCCAGAAAGACATTAAAGTATACATGCGTCTTGATTTTGAGTGGTGTACATAGATCCAGTAATGATTTTACCAGCAGTTTATGGGATACAGAGTCTGTCTGGACGATTTTTTTCGACCACCATGTCACTCCAGAAATGTTACATGTTGTTACGGGCGATTCGCTTTGACAACCGTGACACAAAACCAGGCCATTGTTAACAATACAAGACTGGCAGTGATCAGAGAGGTTTGAGACAAGTGTGTGGAGCACCTGCCAATCATCTCTGTCCCCAATCCAAGCATCACGGTGGATGAGCATCTGGTCACTTTAGGGGACGCTAACCTTAATCATATCAGCAGTGCTGGGAAGGTTACTTTTAAAATGTATTCCATTACAGATTACAGAATACATGCCCCAAAATGTATTCTGTAACGTATTCCGTTACGTTA